AGAGAGAGAGAGAGAGAGAGAGAGAGAGAGAGAGAGAGAAGATCCAAATAACAAAAATCAGAAATGAAAAGGGAGACATTATAGCGAATATGACAGAAATATGAAGAAGCATTCGAGACTGCTATAAAAAACCATATGAAAACACCTATGAAAACCTGGAAGAAATGCATAAATTTCTGGACACATACAAACTACCCAGACTGAATCAAGAAAAAATAGAAAACCTGAACAGACCAATAACAAGCAAGGAGATTGACGCTTTAGTCAGCAATCTTCCAAGAAAGAAAACCAAGGTCTGGATGGCTTTAGAACTGAATTCTATCAAACTTTTAAGGAGGAATTGATACCAATTCTCCTATTAATTCTCCTTTGTAATTGATACCTATTCCAAAAATAGAATAAGATCCATTCTTCCAAACTCATTCTATGAGGCCAGCATCACCCTGATACCAAAATCAGATAAAGTCAAAAAAATAAAAATAAATAAATAAATAAATAAAAAGAAAGAAAGAAAGAAAGAAAATTACAGGCAAATATCCTTGATGAACACAGATGCAAAAAAATCAACAAATTATTAGCAATCAAGATACTACAATACATCAAAAAAATAATACAGAAGGATAAAGTCAGATTCATCCCCAGGATGCAAACATATGCAAGTCAATAACTGTGATCCACTATATCAAAAAAAATCAAGGACAAAAAACATGTAATTATTTCAATAGATGCACAAAAATCATTTCACAAAATTCAAAGTACCTTCATGATAAAGACTCAGCAAATGAGGATTAGAAGGAAAGCATCTCAACACAGTAAACATCATTCTGTCAAGCCCATTGCCAGTATCATCCTGAATGGGGAAAAACTGAAGGCTTTTCTTTTAAGAACTGGAAGAAGACAAGGGTGCCCACTCCCAAGACTTCTATTTAACATAGTAATGGAGGTACTAACCAGAACAATCAGGCAAGAGAAAGAAATAAAGTGTATCCAGATTGGAAAAGATGAAATCAAACTGTCCTTATTTGTAAATGACATGACACTATATTTATAGAAAAACCTAAAAACTCTATCAAAAAACTCCTGGAGCCGGTTAATAATTTTAATAATGTTGCAGGATACAAATAAATGACCCAAATCACTTACATTTATATTCTACAGTAAAGAGTTAGCAGAAACAGAAATCAGGAAAGTAGGCCCATTTACAATAATCACCAATGAAATAAAATGTATAGGAATCAATTTAGCAAGGATGTGTAATATCTCTATAATGAGAATCACAAAAGACTACTGAAAGAAATTAAAGAAGACAAAAATGATGGAAAGATATTCCATGCTCTTGGATTGGAAGAATTAACATTGTGAAAATGTCCATTCTACCCATAGTGATCTATAGATTCAATGCAATCCCCATCAAAATACCAATGACATTCTTCACAGAAATGGGAAAAACAGTCATAAAATTCATATGGAACAATAAAAGACCCCTAATAGCCAAAGCAATCCAGAGCATAAAAAATAAAGCCAGAGGCATAACACTACCTGATTTCAAATTATACTATAAAGCTAGACTAACCAAAACAGCATGGTACTGGTATAAAAATAGACACTCGGACAAGTGGAGCAGAACAGAGAACACAGAAATCACCCCTCAGTCTTACAGCCCTCTGGTATTTGACAAGAGCAACAAAAACATAAGTTGGGGAAAGGACAACATCTTCAATAAGTGGTGCTTTGAAAATTGGATATCCATATGCAGAAGAATGAAATTAGACATGCACCTCTCACCTTATAACAAAATCAACTTACAATGGATTAAAGACTTAAATATAATACCTGAAAGCATAAAACTACTAAAGGAAAAAAATAGGGGAAACTCTTCTGGAACTAGATCTGTGCACAGACTTTATGAACAAGAACCCCAAATCACAAGCAACACAAGAAAAAATAAAGAAATAAGACTATATGAAACTAAAAATCATCTGGACAGCAAAGGAAACAATCCACAGAGTGAAATGCCAACCTACAGAGTAGGAGACAATTTTTGCAGACCATACATTTGACAAGGGATTAATATCAATAATATACAAAGAACTCGTAATTACACAGTAAAACCCCCCAAATAACCCAATTAAAAAATAGGCAAAGGTGATGAATAGACATTTTTCTAAGGAAAACATACAAATGGCCAACATGTACATGAAAAAGTGCTCAACATCACTAATCATCAGGGAAATGTAAATTAAAAGCACATTGAGATGTCATCTCACCCCAGTTAGACTGGCTATAATCAAAAAGATGGAGAATAACAAAAGCTATTTAGGGTGTGGATAGAAGGGAATGCTCCTACAGTGTTGGTGCTACTGTACATTAGTACAATCACGATGGAAAACAGTATGGAGGTTTTTCCAACAACTACAGATAGATCTGCCATACATTCCAGCAATACCACTTCTGGGTACATAGCCAAAGGAATAGAAATCATCATGTTGAAGGGAGACTTTCACTCCCATGCTCATTGCAGTTCTGTTTACAATAACCAAGATAAGGAACCAACCTAAGTGTCCATCTATGGATGACTGAAAAAGGAAAATGTGGTATATGCACATCATGAAAAATTACTCTTAAGTAAAAAGAATAAAATTCTGTCATTTGCAACAACATGGATGAACTTGAAGAAAATTATGTTGAGAGAAATAAGCAAAGCACATAGGGAAAAATACCGCATGTCCTCACACTTAAGTGGGAACTAAGAGAAAGAAGGAAGGAAAGGAAGACCACAGTGGTGCATTGGCCTTGCAGAGGGATAGAGCATACCTAGGGTTGCAAGGTGGGGTTGGGGAAGCAGGGATGGGGAGGGAGGCTGGGGATTAATTGGGTGGGGGACACGAGGTATAACCACAAGTTGCGGTAATGGACATTCTGCCAGTATTGATCTGGTCATCACATCTTGGGCACAAGTGGTGACGGTCAGCTTTTACCCCATGAATATTTATAGCGAATCCAAAAAAAAAAAAAGAAGGAAAGAAAAAAAAAAAAAAAAAACTAAATACATACTCACTACCGATTTGCAATTTTTCTCATTTCTAATATAGGTGTTTACAAGTATAAATCTTCCTCTAAGCACTGCATGAGCCTTGCATCCTATAAATTTTGATATGGTGTGCTTTATCTAAAAAAAAAAAAAAGAAAAGAAAAAAAACCAAACTAAATATATACTCAAGAAATCATGTGAATTAACTATATATTTGAACATTTTTCTCTTTCGCCATCATCTTGCTTTTAACTTATACGTATGCCTCTGATTTAAAAACAAACAAACAAGAACATCCAAAAAGCTTAGACTCCATAAAAGCTTTAGAAACCAGGAAGAAGTCTAACAGATGTTTAAGATAAGTGAATGATTTACTTTTAAACCATTATTTTTTAAAACTTCTGCAATATGTTCTCTTGATAGTAATTTCATGTGTTAAGCTAGATTTCTATCCAATGTTTGTAGCTACCCTCTTCTGATAGTTAATGCTTTTTTTCTTTACATTTTAAGCACTAACATTACCAATAACTTTTCCTACATTTTTAGGATACTTACTTGGATTTTTTGTTAGCTGTTCCTCAGAAAATAATATTATCTGACCTTCTGTGGCATCAGGGCAAGGGCTGATGCAATCATGTTAGCCTTTTCTTCTGTGAGATTTTGAACCATTGACCCCAGAGTAAATACCACGACTCCATCTTTTCCAGAGCTCTGGACAAACTCTTCCAATTCCTGTAAAAAAAAAAAAAAAAAAAAAAAAAAAAGAAAGAAAGAAAAAGAAAGAAAAAAAATCAGTCTTTTAATACGATAGCTTAGTGCCACAAAAATAAAACAACCCCACAAGATTCTCAATGTGTCAGAATTATTAGATCAGCTTTGTCCTTATATATGTTCAACCGTGGTAGAGATTGAAATATGACCTGAAATCATTGTTTATTAGGCCAATTAAAAACGATCAAAGTTTGAGTTGTCTTCTAGCATGTTCTAAATGTTTTTGAGGAGTCTGTATGTGTATATGTCTGTATTTAAAAATTATTGACTACTTGTTATCTCCCAGCATCAGCTGAACTCCTTACATGTAATGAGCCTAAGAGATACGTATACATTTGCAGATGAGAAAACTATCCCATGGATGTCACATAGTTGGTCCAAAGCAATACAGCAGTAGGTAACAGAAGCAAATTTCCAAGTTAAACTTAATTACTATAAGGACGATGACCATATTGGGTATTCTCTACTTAGCCTTGGATGCTAAGATTATCACCAACTTTTTTTTCTTTCTCATTCTTTAATGAAGACTAACTTTTACTCTTTTAATTTTCAATTTTTATTATTAACATATTCATTATTACATATTGTAATTTTTTGTACACACTTTACCTGACCTATCACTTACCAAACTCCCTCCCTCCCTCCCCGCAACTCTAGTATCCTTAGGTTTGTTCTCTCCTTCTGAAAGTTCAACATATTGTTGTGGTTCTTTCCCTTCCTTCCTTCCTTCCTTCCTTCCTTCCTTCCTTCCTTCCTTCCTTCCTTCCAATTGTTCTTAGCACCTAGTTATAAGCAATAATGTGAGGTAGTTCTCTTTCCTTGTCGGTCTTACTTCACTTAACATAATTTTCTCCAGACTTATCTAGTATATTGACATACTAGTGGTATAGTACATTTTTTGTTTCATAAATTAAAATTTTCTTTTTTTGGTTGCATTTCTATCTTATATGAGCTTTCATACTCACATTTTGGCACAAGGTAGCTATATAAATTCCTTACCAAATACATAACAAAGAAATATACAATGCATGCTCTAGAGATGACAGTGAAATTATTAAAAATATAGCTTTGCATTCAAGTAAAAATAGCATATCTGATCATATTTAAGTAAGAAGAATTAATTCCACCCTCTCTCTAAGTACTATATCAAACTAAGCTTACCAAAGAAGACAATAAAAAATGTGTGAAAATTGAAAGGGGAAGTTATAAAATGTCCATGTACATTTATAAAAATATTGGAAAAATTTAAATAACCAATATTGAAACTACTAGAAATAATAAAATATTTCACCAAGTTGGCCAGAATATAAGCATTATAAACAATCCATAATATTCTTTCATAACAGCAATAATCAACCTGAATTGAAAGTTTAAAAAAAAATGTCAGCATTCATTGCAGCAATTAAAAATATAAATTAAGAGTACAGGTACATGTACTTTTATAAAAAACTTTTAAATTCTAGTAAATTACATAAAAGAAGACCCAAATAGAGAGACAGAATTAATAAGATGAGTGTCCGCATCTGTGTGTGTGTGTAAGGAGAAAGAAAGAGAGATTTTAAGGAATATGCTCATGTGAAATAGAGGCAAGCAAGTCCAAAACCTGCAGGCTGGGCTGTAAGATTAGAGACCAGAGAAGAGCCGATGTTACAGTTCAAGTCTCAAGGCCGTCTGCTGGAAGAAATTCCTGTTGCTTGGAAAAGGTCAGTCTTTTGTTCTAATTAGGCCTTCAACTGATTAAATGAGATCTACACATGGAGAGGAATCTTCTTTACTTAAAGTCAACTGATTTAAATGTTTTTTTTTTTTTTTTTGTCTTTTTTTCCATGTCCGGCAACGGATCGCAACCCTCAGTGTTGCCCCCGTACCGGACCGGGGACAGGCAACGGGATCGCAAGCCTCGGCGCCGCTCCCGCGCCTCGCTCAACCAGTGAGTGGGAACCGGTCTATACGTGGGATCCGAACCCTCGGACGGGAGCGCCGCCGCGTTTTCCCAAGCGGCGCACTATCCAGTGCGCCACCGGGCCGGCCCCCAACTGATTTAAATGTTAATCTCATCTAAAAACACCCTTACAGAAACATTCAGGATAATATTTGGCCTTATATCTGAGCATTGTGGCCCAGGCAAGTTGACAAATAAAAGTAACCATCACATTGTTCCTAAATAGATTGACTTAACATAGATATCAATCATTTTAAATTAGTTTGCAATTGCAGTATATTTTTCTTGAGAACATTGGAAAATTTTCAAATGTATATGGAAGAAAATTTTTCATAAATAATTAATAAACTTTGAAAGAGAAAGGGAAATACTGGGAACTACTTCAACCAGGTAATAATGTATAATATAAAATGAATGCCACTGACTTCCTAACAGACAAAGCGAAATATTGAACAAAGCAGTGAGCTCAGAAAGAGAACCATGAGTATGTAAAAGCTTGTGGTATGATGTAGGTGATATCATAAGTCACTGAGACAATCGGTGCAAACAACTCATACTGATTGGGTTATTTATTAAGAAGTTGTAATAAAAGTATATTCACTAGTTAGACAAAAAAAGGACACGGGTCCTTACCTCACACCATACATCAATATAAAATATGTGTATTAAATGCATGAGTGTTAAAGTAAAATAAAGGTATTAAGCATTTTTCAGAAGAAAACACAGGCGAATGTCTTTATAACTTTGAAGATAAAAAAGACATTTTCAATAGTACTTTGAAGAGCACAAAACATAAGGTAAAAAAAATATAGATTTGATTATATCAACTTTGGTGCTTTATGTTTAAAAAGGGAAATCAGAGGTAACAGTAAAAGATGTATGACAGCACGGGAGAAGATATTTGCAATGGCTAAGATAAGGGCTGACACCTAGACATTGTAGATTACAGAAAACTTGTACTGTGACCTTATGATCCCAGTATTAGGTATATGTTTCAAATGCATACACTGATCCATAAAGGAACATGTTTGAAATTTTTCTTCACAATATTCTTTGTAGTAGGATAGAGATGGAGACACCTAATTTTTTTAAATGGGGAATAGGTAAGTCAAATGTAGTAGATACATATAACAAAATTCCTGCAACAGAGTGAATGAACTGTATTTACAAATAGAAACTTGGATAAATATGAAAAATAGTATTGCATAATAAATAAGAAACTATAAATTATAGCATAATATCATTTACATAATTAAGAAACTCAAATCAATAACACATATTGTTTAGGATCAATAGTTACCTAGATAAATATGTGCAAATTTGAATGAGTGGCTAAATATTAAGTGTACTTTACTGCTGCCTAATGGTGGTAGAAGAATGGAAAAAGAAATGAAGACAAAGGAAAAAGGTAAAAATATAAGTAAATCAAGAGTGGATTGTGCTATGGACTGATTATGATATGGTGTAAATTGAAAGTTTGTTTAATACATTCGCTGAACTAGAGGTCCAAACAAAGCAAAGAAAAACAGATATAAATTGTACAATTCCACAAACTTGTTTTGGCATTCAAAATCAAAGTGACATCATATATCATGTTTTTTGCTCCTCTCCCCAGCCTTTTCCTGTTACTTTTTTAGAAGGGGGAGATGAAAATCCAATTGAGTTTTACTCCAGATCCCTGTCTGGGCCACACTCACTAGGGTTTCATTGTGCTGGGTGTTGTAAGAACACACATACATACATGGGTGAGTGTGGCTCTTACTCTACTTCTTCTATAGATGGGGAAAACATTTAAGAAGAAAAGAACCTGTTCCAAGGGCAGGCCCCGAATACAGTCTTCTTCTTTTCAAATGTACATGTGTCTCATTAGTTTGAGATAGCTGCGCAATTATTGATACGATTTTGTCTCCAGGGAAGAAACAGCTATGCGCACTTGATTCAAACCAAATGACCCAGGCTGATTTACCAGAGAGCTCTGCACAGGGATTAAGGTACATAAGACTAACTCTGAAACAACATTATTTATTGTTTTTTTAAAATTTCCAATTTTAGCATGTTTTCTTATCGTGTTCGTGTATATAGGAGCCCATATAAATAAATAAATAAATAAATAAATAAATAAATAAAAAGATAAATAAATAAATAAATAAATAAATAAATAAATAAATAAAATAAATGACACACAAGGAAAGAAAAAGCCAGGATTTATTCTTTAACTTCTTTTCCCCTTAATCTCCACCTCCAGGTGAACACTAAGTCCTAATTACGTTGTTTGTAAACACTTCTTAAATCTCCTCACTTTGACTGGAAAGCACTACCATACCACAGTTTGGATCTCTATAATCTCTTGCAGGAACTACTGCAACTACATCTTCACTCATTTTCTTGCCTTCAATCTTTCTTCCTTCCAAACAATTCAAACAGATGATCTTTATGAAAAGGAAAACTCTGCCATATTACTCCTTAAACATTAGTGACTTATACTTCGTTGTCTGCCGTGAGCAATCCTGCTATAGGGAATGGCACGGGAGTGATACCCCTTGTTCTGCAGGCTACAAGGGGGTCCCATGTGTGTGGCATGGCTCCGTGGAATTTCTTTCTTTTTTTTTTTTTTCGTATTCATATTTTCAATTTATTTTGTTTTTTGTTTTTTTTATATTTTTTTATTTTGTCAATATACAATGTAGTTAGTTATTGTGTCCCTTCACCGAAACCTCCCTCCCTCCTCCCTCTCCCCCCTCCCACGCAGGTGTGTCCCCTCTATTTTCTTGTTGTAAGAACTTCAAAAAAAAAAAAAAAGGTGGGGTTGTTATATCTTCCTCTCCCCCCCCCGTTTTTTTTTTGTTGTTGTTGTTGATGTTGTTGTTGTTTGTTTTTTTTGTGTGTGTGTGAGAGTGTGTGTGTGTGTATTGATTCATTCACCTTTAGCTCCCTCCAATAAGTGAAAACATGTGGTATTGCTTTTTCACTGCCTGACTCGTTCAACCACAACTTTTTTTTTGAAGTTCTTACAACAAGAAAATGGAGGGGACACACCTGGGTGGGAGGGGGGAGAGGGAGGAGGGAGGGAGGCTTTGGTGATGGGACACAATAACTAACTACATTGTATATTGACAAAATAAAAATAATTGATAAAATCCAACACTCATTCATGATAAAGACCCTTTATAAATTAGGTATAGATGGAAAGTATCTCAACATAATCAAAGCCATATATAATAAACCCACTGCCAATATCATCCTGAATGGGGAAAAACTGAAAGCTTTTCCTTTAAGAACAGGAACCAGACAAGGATGCCCACTCTCACCACTCCTATTCAACATAGTTTTGGAAGTATTAGCCAGAGCAATCAGAAACGAGAAGGAAATAAAGGGCATCCTGATTGGAAAGGATGAAGTCAAACTGTCCCTGTTTGCAGATGACATGATCCTATATATCGAACAGCCCAAATCATCTATTAAAAAACTCTTAGAGGTGATAAAAGAGTTCAGCACAGTAGCAGGATACAAAATCAACACACAAAAATCAGTAGCATTTCTTTTCACCAATAGTGAACAAGCAGAAAGAGAAATCAAGAAAGCCTGCCCATTTACAATAGCCACCAAAAACATAAAATACTTAGGAATTGAACTAACTAAGGATGTGAAAAATCTCTATAATGAGAACTATAAACCACTCCTGAGAGAAATTAGAGAGGATACAAGAAGATGGAAAGACATCCCATGCTCCTGGATTGGAAGAATCACTATAGTGAAAATGACTATACTTCAGAAAGTAATATACATATTCAATGCAATCCCCATCAAAATTCCTATGACATTTCTCTCAGAAATGGAAAGAACTATACAGTCATTTATCTGGAATAACAAAAGACCACGAATAGCCAAAGCAACGCTGAGCAAAAAAAATAAAGCTGGAGGTATTACTCTACCTGACTTTAAACTATACTACAAAGCTATAATAACCAAAACAGCATGGTATTGGTATAATAACAGAGACTCTGATCAATGGAATAGAATAGAGCACCCTGAAATCAACCCACGCACTTACTGCCATTTGATCTTTGACAAAGGCATCAAGTCTATTCACTGGGGTCGGGACTCCCTCTTCAGCAAAGGGTGCTGGGATAACTGGATATCCATTTGCAGGAGATTGAAACTAGACCCATACCTCTCACCATGTACTAAAATCAACTCAAAATGGATCAAGGATTTAAATATACACCCCAAAACAATAAGACTTGTTAAAGAAAACATAGGAGAAACCCTTCAGCAAATAGTGCTGGGCACAGACTTCATGAATATGACCCCAAAAGCACGGGCAATCAAAGGAAAAATAAACAAATGGGACTATATCCGTGGAATTTCTTGTTTGTTCACCTTTGGTTGCTTGGCAAGGCTTCCCAGAATTAAGCAGCCTAATCTTTTGGCTTAGTATGACTTTGGGAAATTCCCTGGAGTTTCTCAAAGGACATGTTAAAATACATCAAAATTAACTGGTTTATTTAAGGGGCATTGTCAGTACTAAAGGTGTTTTTGATGCATGTTCCCAGTATGTGTTGGCTCCATTTAATTTTGTCATTAATCTTCCTTATTAGTGATGTGTGCATGGACCCATTGTGGTTGTGGTCATGCTCCTGTAGGTGTGGAATGAAGTTATTACGTTAGGTTTTATCTACATTCCCCCAGGGAGACGGTGGATCCGAGTGCAGTGGTGCTTATAACTAATTGATCATCAACCAGTTACAGATTTCTTTGTTTCGCCCCACTCCCACAGTTTCACTTGATTTACCATGAACATGTTCTTTCCTTAGTAATAATAAGAATGATATAGTGCGTTTTGGTTAGTTTGAGTAGGATCATTTAACTTTTCACTTTGTCCCCTGTGCTGTTCCCAGAATCTATTGGCAGGAAAATAAAAGGTATAAACACTGTGATTTTGATTATAAATTAAAATGATCAATATAGAGTATAAGCAATATTAAATTTTTAACCGTAACTACTCAATGTTATTAAAAGCAAGTATAGAAAGTATAAGTAAGATTTAAAAAAGGTTAAATCGTGAGTTAAGAAGGTTAAGAATTATAGTTTAAACTAAAAGTCTGATGCTCTTTAAAGCCAAGCATGCTGCTATTGTATAGTTTCCTGGCCACAAGCCATAGGCTTTGGGGTAAACTATTGATGCATGAGTGGGTGCTTTTCATCACAACATAACTGCTTTAGAACATTTTTCTTTTTCTTTTTCTATAGAGATAAAATAATAAGTGTTTTGATTAAAAGATAAATCATCATGTAAAAGGTTAAGTAAAAAATATAAATAAAGCAAGATTTTTGTGGTTGTCATCCACACTTGCACTAGACATCTGTGGTCCATCTCTTCCTTTTCACCTAATCCACACCATCTATTCAGGTCTAACGAATCTTGCGGAGCTGGTCTCTGGCAACTGTCCTTAAACTTGAGGTAAAGTATACTTAGTGATGCCCTTTTTTTCTTCACAACCTATTCCCTCACATCTCTCCAGAGTAATTTCACTGCTCTGTTCAACCAAACAGTTTATCATAATCATTACTAAACTTCTTCCAGGGTTCTTGTGTGGTTTTTTGTTTGTTTTTAGGTCATCGTACGTCTATTCAACCTATTCTCAAAGTAAAATTTCTCCTCTATTGGAAAATTCTAAAACTGGGTTATTCCAAATAACTTGTAATTTCAAAATCTCAGTGTTTTAAAAGAACAGTTTATTTCTTTGTCATGTCATACATCTATTTATTGTGCTGCAGTTGCTATGTATATTCATTGATTCAAAATGCAGGTAGACAGAGCAGCTACTAACTCTACTAATTCATATGACAAATGGAAAGAGAATTCTGGAGCTATGGACATGGCAATTGAGTGCTAGACCCAGAAATGATGCATGCCACTTCAGCTCATATTTATTGACCAGACATTATTTCATACCCCACCCCCCAACTCAGGGGCAAAAAATTTTGTTCCTATGAAATATCTGGCATATTTGATGGACATAACTAATGACTGACATGATAAGGTTGCAGTATATCTATGGTAGTATAATTACTTCAGACAGTAATGTCCGCTCATCTCTATTAATTCTCTATTTTTTTCAGTTTAACGATCAAATGTTATAAAAATAAAGAAGAAATCATTGCAGGAGAAAAATACTCAAACAAGCAAACATAAGCACAATAAATTACCTCAGGTAGGGACTTTGCAGGCCTGCAGTGAAGTCCTCCAACGAATTCAAAATTAGGTAAATAAGGGCGAGGAAATTCAAAATCCCAGTAAGTTCGAATCAACCACATTTCAGCTTTTCCCATAATCTCACAAATTGTGGTAGGTCTTCCTGAAAAAAAAATAAAGAATGATAGAGGGAAAATAAATTGATATATTAAATGAGAAATATTTCACAATCTAATTTTCAAAGAAAATCTTTAAAGAACCACTATTCGGCCTGTGTAATCCATCTGAAATCAGCTGGCCTTTCAAGAGTACATTCTGTTGAGATTATGAATACCCAGACAAGGATTTAAGACTAGAACAAGGTCAGAAGCCCACTGCTTTCCCTCTGCCAGTCCAGTCTTTCTGCTTGAACCCCACATGAGCCCAGCTCCGCGCTGAGAATGGGCTCATACTCCCGGCCAGGAACCCAGGCAGTGATCCTCCACTCACTGTAACAGAGCGCCTCCTCCTCTTCTGCAATTCCAATTTATCTCATCCTTATTGCTGCAAAAGCCTTCTGATGCCTTTATCTGGAGGCTTTTGTGATTTATCTATCTTTTTCTAGTGTTTTTGAATGTGCTGCCACAGAAAATTATATCCTACCAGGAGTGGAAATCTTTTAATAAATGTTTGAAAGTGATTAACTCCTTCATCACACAAAATTAAAGTTCCTATGTCACAGGGCTTTGTCAACTTTGGTGAGACATAGCACTGCATAGTAATTTGGTTCTAAAATATTTGCTGTCTGACATATTAAAGGACAAAAACTATGAAAGGGGTATCTTTCTGCTGACATGGCAAGCAATTGAACTTTAACGGAATAAGAACTCAAATTAATGACTCTGAGTAAGGTCACTTTGCTTCGTCAGAGTAGTCATTTCTCAATTCTATTCAGTTATTGTGGTATGAGGAATCGTACCCAGATACTTGGTGTCTTCAATGTGTATTCAGTGATATAGATATGAGGAAACCATAGCAATGTATGTTTTCCACATCTGGCTCTTTGAATATTCTCCTTATGTCTTAAATGTACCAGCATTTTGGTTAGGAAATATGAGAGATTATGAACTGATCAGGACAGTGTATCTGTATAAAAGCAAGCAAATTTCAGTAATTGATGTGTTTAATTCTGGTAATGACGATGATGTCCGAAATCCAGATTCATATTCAGTACATATCCCATTTTAGTGCCTTGTTCAAATCAGCCATGGGTGTGATCTTATTCTCTTTGTATGATACATCACTACTCCATCCTTTCTATAACTACTTTATTGAGATATAATTTACATATTGTACGATCCTTCCTTATAAAGTACATAACTGAGTAGTTTTTCGTGTATTCACAAAGTTGAGCAACCATCACTACTGTTTAATTTTAATTCATTTTTAAAATTTAGAACATTTTCACTACCCCCAAAGGGCATTGTTTATTACACCCATTTTATTACCGATGGAAAATCATTATCTGTTTCTCCCTTTTCTGATCCCCTGACAAAAACTAATCTACTTTCTGTCTCTATGGATTTGCTATTCTGAGCATTTTATATAAACAGAATCGTTCAATATTTGGTGTTTCATGCTGGCTTTTTAAATTAACCAGAATATTTTCAAAGCTCCTCCATGTTTTAACATGTATCATCATGTCATTGCTTTGTATTCCTGTATAGTATTTCTGTGCATGAATGTACCACATTTTATTGATCCATTCATCTGTTGATGAACATCTGGGTTGTTTCCACTTTTGGCTTCTGTAAATAATATGTTTTCTTGACTGCATACCTAGCATAGAATCAGTGGTTCATGTGGTTGATTCACTCTCTTTCATAACACGATGATATTTTTTTCCTGTTGAAATTCCTCCTCCTTAGATAACAGTGTAGTATGCTTAATGCAACTTAAAAAAAAGATAAAGCCAATACAGTCCAAAGAAAATTTAAAAAGTAACTGATTTAGATAAAGAGATTATTAGAAAGGTGTCTCAAATTGTGTAATCAAAAGATATTACAACAATTCCTTCTGATGTCATTCTGGGGCAATTTACCGATGAATGTTCTAAGGATTGATTAATCTTCTAGGAGAATGTGCTTAAGTTTGACTTTGTTATTTAATATTGATTTACTATTTACTTTTGAGTTCAGATACAATGTAGCCAAATATTAACTTGCATATTTCTGTCTGGTAGAAATATCTTTCCCAAAATCATGATTTTATTAGCATTAATCAATTTTGTATCTGATTTGGCAGAATAATCATCACATTCCTTTTTCTCACCAGAAAGTTTATAAATACTTCTTCAAAATATTTTTTGAAACAGATTTGCAATCTTACTGGTTTCTTCCTCAATGATGCAGATATTTCTACAACATTGTTTATTTAATATATATGTGAGTTATGGATTATATTTTTCTAAAAATTTGAAGAATATACTTGGACTGAATGACATAATAAAGATTCCAAATTCTAAACAATCAAATGAAAAATGACAGCTAATAGCCTTTTAAAATGTAGACTGGCAAATAAATCTTTTTTCTTCTATGTATCAAATCTTTACATTCTTTCTCAGAATATTGATTCTTTCCTAAAAGTTACACTTTATAGTATTAAGACCTAGGAAAGAATCAGAGACAGAATAATCATCTATCAGTAATGCTTTACTATAAAAGAGGTTTGAAACCTGAGTACCAAATGACTGGGATCAAAAGTAATCAAATAAGTTAATTCCAGGAGTAGATCTGTCACTGCTTGATCCATGGCTCAGAGATGGTCACCAGGATCGGCTACTCAGTTACCTTTTCTCAGTTTTGCCTTTTGCTGCTTGGCCTATGACCATGGGTAAAGGATGGGTGTAGTAGTTTCTGTATGCATTTTTCAGGGTGAATTCAAGAGGAAATAAGCATTTGCCTCTGTCCCAGAATGCCCAGAAAAAGTCTCAGTGCAACAATTGGATCTGATTAAGTTGTGTACCTCCTTAAACCAGTCACCGGTATTATGAAGCATTCACATTGTATGGAAATTGGTGAGGAAATCATTTTTCAGAGGAAATTTACATTACTGGTAGCAATAAAAAGGAAAATGGATGTTTCCTTATAAAAGATCACAATTATATAGGAAAATTTTAATATTTATAGGAGCAAATTAACCTTTAGTAGAGATAAGTTATTATAGAAACTTCTGTTAAAATTAGTAAGATGGAAGATTTCTGGTTATTACCACTAATACTTATTGTCATACTTGAGGCATCAGTCAATGGAATAAGCAGCAACAGAAATAACAACAACCCCCCCAAAAATGGAAATCAAAACCAAAATCTAAAACAAGTGGGAGACAGTATTGAAAGAAAAAATAGCTAATATTTATTGATGTGATTTTTATCTAGTTAATCTGATATAAATCTCTCAACTTAAATGTTAGTAGAATTTATTAAGACATTTTAGTTAGGTTACTGAATTGAAGAGTGAGAAACAGAAATATCGATAGCTTCCTTAACCCTGCAATAGCCACTGCAAGAAGATGTCAATGGTAACTACAAACTGTAAAGAATAATCTCAGAAATAAATATTTAAGATTTTAATCAAAAGGATGTAAGGCATTATTGAATGTTAGATAAAAAATATATAAAGGAAATTTCTTTTGCTGAAAGACCCTAGATGTTCAAGAGGTAAGTTTTCCACCAATTAATCTCTAAATTCAGTGTAAGCCAAACTCAATATCCATACAGAGCACTTCTACTCCATTAACTTCTGTAAAGTTCATTTGATTGTGAAAACAGAAAGCAAATATTTTCTTGCTGGGTCACTAGGGGAAACAGTGAGTGGTGCTGCTCCCATTTCCAACCTTTGATTGCTGAACCCATGAATCCTAGCTAAGGTGGAAACAGCACCGTATACTGGGCACTGATGCAGAGCATATGCAGCCTTTTGGAGAAACTTGCCCCAGCACTGTAAGCTATTACTATCTATCTGGCCCTGTAACTGATCTTCAAAAGGCCATTCCACTGTTATATCTGATCAGTTGCTTGCAGATGGAGGGATAAATAACAACAACAACAAAAAAAAATCCATTAAATTCTGTGTGCATGGGACCATCCAGTAAGAATAAAATGCTGCCGTTTTCATGATGTAAGCAGTCCAGAGATGTATTGAAGCTTCAGTTGAGTCACCTACTGGTTAAGCCAATAATTGGTTGTCAATCTCAAAATATTGTTTTCTGCCCAGGCCAAACAGCTGAGTTGAATAGGAATGTGTTGGGTACAAACTCCCCTGACTTTTTCAAGTTCTTGATGGTGGCAGTCCTTCTGAGAACGTGGTATTGCTTTTGCTTTACTAATTTCCCAGTTATGGGCAGTGGCTTCATGTGGCCTAGTGGCTTCCGCTTGGCTTCTCCAATCTTATAACTCTCACTCCACCAGTCAGAACACCAGTGCAGGGATTCTGGCAGCTGCCAACTACATCTATACCAATTATGCTTTTCAAAACAGGGGGAATAACCACAGATAGGGTTGGGCACATACTAGGCCTACTGTGAGATGGACCTGAGCTAAAACTCCATTGATCACTTGTCCTCCATAAGCCACTACTATGACCACTGGACCACAGTGATGTTTTGGATCTCCAGTAATTGTTAGTCCAGAGCCAATGTCCAGTAGTCCCCAAAAGGTTGGATTATTTTCTTTTTCCCCATGCACCTATCCCTTAGTAAAGGCTATAGGTCCCCTTGGGAAAGGAGGAAAACTAACAGTATAAATTTTTAATAGTGTGCTGGTGTCTTTCCTCAAGCTAACCTGCCCTCCCCTTCTTTCAAGCAGTTCTGAGTCTATTAACTGGGTGAAGTCTGGGAATTGATTGAGAGGTCATGACACTCTTTTTTTTTATAATTCATCTAAGAATTTGTTCACTTGATCTGGAATTTTTCCACTAATAGAAACCAAGTAATAATTTGATAGGCTTCCTATCTATTCCACAACTGGGAATACAATGATTAACTAACCAAAGCCATAGGTCTGTGCTATTCGGACTACTCTGATTGCTGCTTTGACTCTTCTGTCCATCCTGGTAACCACTCCCACCTTGCCTTTGGAGGTTGTGTGCTGCCTCCTGGTTTCTGCCACTCTGGGATCTAGTTACTCCCAATGGATTTGGGTTTCCCAATAAAGTTACTGCAGGTTGCTAAAGGCTTAGGGATAACCGTACTATGATCCTACTCAAATCTGGAGACTCAAATGAGCTAACATTCTTGACAAAGACATTCAGTTTGATATATTTTTTTCTGAGAGTGGAAGTTGAAAACAAGGAGTATTATATTTTGAGCTATTTAATCTAGAATTTTTCAGCATATACAACTGTGTGCATGTGCATGATTTAATTTAATGCACATGTGTGAGGCAATTACTTAATATTTGATTCAAAAATGATGATTACACAATTAAGAACACCTAATGAAACCACTTCTACTATTTATCTCTAAATCTTCACTGGAGTACAGTTAGTCCACATAAGGAAGATTCAAAATAATTTTCACGGTTAATGTGACGTGTTAAATATTTGCAGGTTAGGTGAAAACACAATTCAGTATCTCTGCCCTTGCATAAAAAGATGAAGGGAAGTATCTAGAAGATCCAGAAAGCTGGCACACATTGCGGTGGAATTCAATAACAGGACACTGATTTGATTTTGTGCTCTAAGACTTAGCAGAAGTGTGTGGCACCTAATTGCCTCTAGAGTGATAGCTGAATGCTCTTTCTCCAATATTAATACATCTGCCCTAAGTGATCCTTCAGAACATGTGTTGGAGTAATTGAATGGAGAAAAGGCTAAGATTTTACTGATTTGACTACTCACTTACTTGCTACTTACTTACCCTCTAATAGATGTATAAACAGATAGCAGAATTCTATGCCTTTAAGTATCAACTGAGAGTGAGATTATGGGGCAGACAAACTATGCCCTCCATTTGCTTCTCTTTACTGGAGGCCATAGATACTAAAAAGAACCTCACGACTGTGAACCACAAAAGTGCTCTGAGTCAGTTTACCACAGGCGGGAAAACATTTTTCCTATTTGCCCTATCACAGACACTTGTATTTATTTGCTCTAAAAACAGTATTAGAAAAGCTTACTTTTATATATGGTTGCTGAGTGTTCCAAATTATAGTTTTGGGTACGTATGAGAGGTCTTCAAAAGGTACATGGAACGTTTCCTATTATCTTTTAATTCCATAATTCCATAAATGTTTTGAAGTACCCTCATATATATGTTTAATTACACACACAACAAATATATTAGCCTAAATATATAGGCCTTTTTTGGCATGTTTGTATATATATGTGGGTGTTTGTGTGTGTGTTTGGAGAAAGGTGAGATAGAGTAGATAAAAAAGAGAGAGAGAGAGACAGAATTTATATGGCCAATGGCTGGCACATGCTTAAGATAAACTAGGGCTTATAAAGTACATGTGTTTAAAGAATTAGATCATTCAGGATGTAGCTTATTCAAATGATTAACTATTTAAATTGAATAATGTTCTTGCTCAAAATACATTTTCTCTTAATATGAAAAATTGTTATGTTTTACAGAGGTGAATGGGGTTTATTTTGTTCTAATGAGCACAGAATACTTATTTTAAAGAAATGTTTGCCTTTTATACTTAACAAAAAATTTTACACTTGAAGATGAGCACTGTGTGAGAATTCCTCTTGTTATCAAGGCCTCAACTTCCATATAAAACCACAATTTACTTATGTGAAAATATCTCTCCTTAATAGAAAACATTGTAAATTTAAGGGCAATGCTAGGTAAGTCAACTGGGTAAAATAAAAATTTAAATTTAGGATATTAATATTCTAAATCTTCAGGGTTACATGAGAAGAACCTCACAGGGAGGACATGATTTTTTGTTAAGGTGCCAGTGGTGCTACCCACAACAAAGTTGTTCAGAAGAGTCACTTTCCTTTTAAAATATACCTTAAGAGAAAGACACGGATGCAAGAAATCTAAAAGACACAGACTTCTGGACTGGCAGTCCAGGCAGGCACAAGCAATAAGGAGGAAGCTTTCTATTTTCATGGCTCTTTGCGATATAAACAAAACAAACAATAACAGTACAAGTTCCCATCTTTTGGAAAAAGAAGACAATTACATTGGAAATTTCCATTGCATTCATCTGTAGTATGGGAATGTAGAGATAAATAAGGAAGGATAAGAGGACTTGTTGAAATGGAGAGAAAGATTGTGTTCAGGGTCACAGCTCACTAGTTGCCATCTAATGCAATTTTATATAGAACAACAAAAACAACAAGAGATCAGTGAGATGAAGTTAAAAAAAAATGTATGGAAACAAAGTCCTTTAACAAAATATCTTCCACTTTCTCTCCTTTGGGAGACAAGAGCATATGCACCAAGTTACAGTTTTTTGACTATTTTCTGGTTTCATACTCAACACATACCAAGCCCCGCTACCAAACAACCAAGCCTACAAAGGTTGCAGAGAGAAAGCCAAAGAAGGAGGCAATTTATCAGACAGAAAACAGGATGTGTAAATGGCAAACTAAATAAGAAACAGTAAAAAGTTAAGCACACTGTCCGATTTGGGGATCCCAAATTGGTGTACACCTCCAAAAAGAATTAGTAGCAGCAAACAGGATTCATGTATAATTTACCTCCAAAAGAATTAGTAGCAGCAAACAGGATTTATGTATAATACATAGAAAAAACATTCTTTCTCTGATATGTTATTTTGCCTCAATCACCTAAAATTTAAATCTAAAAAAAAGGAAGAGAAAAAGAATCTTTTTTTTTTACTTAAAACCTACAAAAACTTGGCAAAAATGTGTGAACATTTAAAAATGCCTATTCTACGTTTTCATACAGCCAGATAAGCATTTAAGTTTTGCATATGAAATAACAATTCTTTTACATGCAAATTGCTCTTACCTAAAACATTGCTGTAATATTCATCCCATTCTGGAAATAGGTAGTAAAAATGCATCACATCATACATTACATATACATAGAAGTTCCCAATAGAAAACCGGAAAGTATACATGAATGGAATATTGAGAAGCTCCGCCACCAACTCTCCACAAAAGCTTAAAGGGTCAGCAAAGCAGATATCAAACTTAGCTGCCTTTAGCTTGGCGAGTAACTCTTTATTCATTACAGCACTCATAGAAGTTCCCAATAGAAAACCGGAAAGTATACATGAATGGAATATTGAGAAGCTCCGCCACCAACTCTCCACAAAAGCTTAAAGGGTCAGCAAAGCAGATATCAAACTTAGCTGCCTTTAGCTTGGCGAGTAACTCTTTATTCATTACAGCACTCATAGAAGTTCCCAATAGAAAACCGGAAAGTATACATGAATGGAATATTGAGAAGCTCCGCCACCAACTCTCCACAAAAGCTTAAAGGGTCAGCAAAGCAGATATCAAACTTAGCTGCCTTTAGCTTGGCGAGTAACTCTTTATTCATTACAGCACTCATAGAAGTTCCCAATAGAAAACCGGAAAGTATACATGAATGGAATATTGAGAAGCTCCGCCACCAACTCTCCACAAAAGCTTAAAGGGTCAGCAAAGCAGATATCAAACTTAGCTGCCTTTAGCTTGGCGAGTAACTCTTTATTCATTACAGCACTGTCACATATTCTTTTCAATGCACTTCCAAAACTCTTTTCGATTTTTGCAATCCTTAGGTACCTGTACCACCATGAAAGTTTTGGCAGTTCAAAAGAAGTTTCATAGATAAAGCTATTGATCTCTTCCATGAGAGTTTCTTTGGTTACTGGAAGTTGGAGGACCTCCACATTAAAGGGAATCTTGGTATGATCAAGCAGCAGGCTTGGTGAAGCTACCAGGATGGTTATCTCGTGCCCACGAAGCTGAAGTTCATCCAGAATAACTTTTAAATTAATCCAGTGACTGAAGTCCATTGGCCAAACAAGTATTTTCCCACTTCTTCCAGAGTCGAAGAAACACAGATGCAGCATGAAAAGGACACAGAAGACTTTCACAGTCCCCATGACCAACTCTCACTCTAGTTAACTAAGCCTGGGCTTAAACCAAGCACAGGAGGCTGATGCTCCAAAGACCTCTTTCTTGATCCTCTCAATCAATTTATTGTGGGCTGGGCAAACATTAAAGAGTGAACTTTGTATTATTGATCTTCTCAACTTATGGTGGGATGGGCTAAACTCTGAAGAGTGTACTTTGTATTATTGATTAAAATCGAATGCAACTGTTTTGAAGAAAACAATATAATCAGTTGCTAAGAAAATACTCAGAACTAGAATTTCAAGCTTCTTTCAGACAACAAGAAAATAAAGGGGCTTAAAATTAAACACAAATGCAAAATAATTTCTAAATGATGTTAAGAAAATTCATCACCATTTGATGTTCATTCAATTAAGACTGAATTTTTATTCTATCTTTTTTTTCTGGTTTCATTTGAATGTTCATTTGAACAGAATGATGTCTCAAGTATTTACCTTGCTGATAACTCTCCTGGATATTCTAGTAAGAACAGAGGCTCTCTCCTCCTTTTAGGAAAAAATGGGTACTTTAAGAGGTACAGGGAGAAGATTTAAGTCCACATCTAATGTTAAATCCAAAGCTTTTCTGTGATATCACATCAATCTTTAAGCGAAAAGTAGAATCATTTTTTTTTTTAACCATTACTAAAGATATGTGTGAATATTCTGATTTAAGGTCAGATTAATGTTGTGTTGAGAAGCAATATCTCAGAACAGAAAATAAAAACCGTGAAGAAGATAAGAATCTCATCTTTACAGCATATCCAATTCTATTTTCTTTGCAGTTTTGTTCTCACAGACTTTTTATTACTTGTAATTTCATTTTTTCTTTTTTTTTTTTGACTAGATCTCCATACCTAGAAGTCACTACCCTATGTAGAAAAGGATTCAATGTCATTTAAAATAATATGTTCATGTAAAATGTTTTTGCTTAAAATGTTGATTTTTCCCCAAATAATTAATCAATAGGAATATATAATAATAATATTATTATTTTCCTTATCATAAGAATTACTGGGCAATAATAAAACAGTATTGACTGGGTATTCAATTGATTACCATATCATACAAATTTGATTGCCCAAGTATATGTCAACTCATTTTCCTTTATCAGTCTTCTCTACTATCATGTAAACCTAGCCATTTCCATATCTAATGTGGAGTTTCTGCAACAGCCTTCTTATATACCTGCTCCCACTTTTGTATACCTACAAACCACTCTCCACACAGAAAATTCCCTGTTTTCAAAAATATCTATTGCAGGGGCCGGCCCGGTGGCACACTGGATAGTGTGCCGCTTGGGAAGCGCGGCGGCGCTCCCGTCCGAGGGTTCGGATCCCACATACAGACCGGCTCCCGGTCCGGTACGGGGGCAACACTGAGGGTTGCGATCCGTTGCCAGACACGGAAAAAAAAAAAAAAAAACAAAAATAAAAACAAAAATATCTATTGCAGGGGCCGGCCCGGTGGCACACTGGATAGTGTGCCGCTTGGGAAGCGCGGCGGCGCTCCCGTCCGAGGGTTCGGATCCCACATACAGACCGGCTCCCGGTCCGGTACGGGGGCAACACTGAGGGTTGCGATCCGTTGCCAGACACGGAAAAAAGACAAAAAAAAAAAAACAAAAAAAAAAAACAAAAACAAAAACAAAAATATCTATTGCAGAGAGTGCCATTCCTGAGCAAAGTACTTTAATAACTTTCTCTTTTACGTACATTAAAATCTACATTCTCTGACATGGCCCCTGAAATCCTGACACTTTTCTATATCATGACCTTCCACTCTCCTGCTCCATTCATCTCCATATCAGTTCACTTGTGCTTTGTGATAAGAAATTCTTTCCTACCTTGGTAATTTTGCTCTTGATTTTCCTCTTTTATTCTCTTTCTTATTCTTCCAATTTTATGTTTAACTCCCTTGGGAAGGTTTTTCCCTACCATACTATATAATATGCTTTCCCAGGTTACTGTTTTTGTTTCTTGGCCAAATGTCCCATGTTTGCTTGCATATAAAATATGTTTAACACTGCTGTGATGGACATAGTGCACAACACATTATAGCAGCAAGACCTGTAAGAAATTGACTGTTTACATCATGCAAGTTTCTATATGCACACGACAAATTTCTCTTTCGTAAGTACAACATATTTTCAAGGATAAATACAACATAAAAATGCAAACACACATAAAAATACAAATAAAACCCTTCCAGAGAACTACAAATAGAAGACACAGATGAGCACCTTTGCTGTACTTCAATAAAGCAGAATTATCTACATTAAGTACACTGATTGGAATTAGTGAACTAAATCCAGGTGGCTCTGTGCTTAATCTAACAGCCAGTTGCAAAACACAGGTTGCTGGTTCATTGGGAAGTTCGTGGTTTAAGTTTTGCATCCCAACTCAAAGTAACAGAACCTTTGCTACAACCAGAACAGGAAATACCTACTCTTTACACAACAGTTAACTCTTTGTGTATGTGTGTGTGTGTGTGTGTGTGTGTGTATTTTCTTTTCCCTGTTAGGAATCAAAGAAATATTTGCCATTCTTTATTGTTTCCAATGTTGTTTACAATATTCTTATTGTAATATTTAGTTATTTGACAGAAACATGACTATATACATTTATTGATATAACTACATACTTTTATCTTTTACAAGTCCAGTCCTTTTGTAAATTAATCTCCTTGTGCTCTTTAAACCCATCTTGCAAATTTGCTCAGAAAACAACTGTTGCTTTGTATTGCTTCGCCCCCTACGGATTTGTCACCTCACTTCCCCAGAGTGACAGAGACACAAAGGATTACTCAAAGCCCATCTCTTCTGAGCAGTGAAGGGCCCCAAAGTGGTTAATCTCCCACCGTAACCCTCAAGTGAGAGGGATCCCTTCCTTGGGAAATTAACACCAAATTGGGGTTCTTTTCCTGCATTTATTTTCCAAACCAGGAAGTTACAGGAAGATAACAAAGGTGGGGTTATAGTTTAACAATATAGGTTGGTAGCTCTCAGTGAAACAAGTCAGATGACATTCCATTAAGGCAATTAAGTGGTCCTATCAACACAAGCTTGATCTTAGCAAACATTCCCATCTTACAGCAATTTCTCAGTATCTTTCATAACAATCAGTAACTAGTCTGTGTTTGAGCCAGCAACCCTGCTGTGCCAGAATTCTTATCTTATACCAGAGACTTATAGCCTGAGGAAAATTTCCTTTCCCCTGCAAGGTCAATATTTGAAACTGAGGGCTTTGGAAAACCACGCCCTGTGAAGTACATATGCTTTATAGTATATTCCACAAACAACCAGCTCCTACCTTTCTTTATAATAGCAATCTTCCCCATTCCTGGAGATGGAATTAGAAATCCACATTCCTTACCAGATGCTTGGCCTAAGATTATGTCCACTACTGTGAAAGAAACTACTTTCAAGGCTGCTTTTAACATTATTTGGCATGGCTTGAAAAACCGGTGATGAATGTGAGGTTGAAGTTGTATCTCAAATATGCATTCTAAGCAGGCACACTGAGGATAGTGCTAGGATTCTTAAACATCTCTGGTGTTTAAGAGACCCACAGTCACCTACAGTTTATGTAGTTAATTTTAAATATTAAAAACACTAACCTGTGATTAGATAATCTACTAAAATTTCTAATGTACAAAATGTTTCGTCTGGATTCAGGAATTACCCCTGTTACTAAGTACTCTGCTCTTAAGATATAGCACAAAAATAAAAATTCTAACCCGAAGAAAACCAAAACATTTTTCTCTCAATGAACATGTATCAAAGAGTATAAAAAGTTATCCTTTTAAATATATACAAACTTTTTTAGACTCAAATATTGTTTCAATACTCCTCTAGGATTCATATGGTGAGCTGAAGAAGATACATTGAAAAAGAATTTACAAGTATTGCAATAGCCCAAACAATACTGTTAAGTCTGTTATACGGCAAACTTTTGGTAGCAAATGTCTTTGTTATTCCAATGAGGACAGAGATTTTCCTTATGGGATATCTGTGGCTATTTCTCAGCTGAACTCGTTCTTTTGGATTGAGTGAAGGCCATGCTGTATTTCCATTTGTGAGTACTTAATGGAGCTTTATGGAGTGTTAGAAATCTTGATTCTCCTTTGATCTTAGAATTGGATTTTTAGGTAAATGCATGCATAGGGCCATAACCCTTGAGCAGAGGGCCAAAGGTCCACAGATAGCTTGGCAAAAGCCCATCAATCAATTCTAGTCACTGTTTAGGGATTGGATTGTGTACTTTGACTATGTTAGGTCACTTGTTTGATTCTGGCTCAAAGGACTATTGACTATTTAACCTACTGATTGTTGTTAAGATATGTTGAGGAAGCTGCTTGATTGTTGTTTAAATATGCTGAGGAAATCGCTGTAGGAAAATATGAGAAAAAGAAAATGTTTGCTAAGGACAAGCTGTCTGTTGGTGGATCGATTTATCTTTTCACAAATTGCGTTCTGGAATGTCACATTATTAATTTCACTGATTTTACTAGTTTCCATTGTTTAAGCTTTACTTAGCCATAATTAACTTCTGTAACACTGCTTTTGTTTGTATGTCTTTCTTTGATGATTGAATCAACTGATTTTTCTTGTGACATTTTCTTGTCTTGACAATAAAAAAAAAAGCTATTTTTGAATTAGGGCCGCTGCCCCAATGGGCTGCAGTCCTTCTAGGCTTAATTCCTGGTGCTTTGAGTAATTTGTTCCTTTTTTTCCATCTCCGTTACACAGAGGGAAGTGTAACAAAGTGGTGCCTTGTGTGTGGCATTGAACTCCATGTATCAGAGACCGATCTGACAAGCCTTGGAAAGGAAAAGGAAATCTGACATTTGTATCTACACATCCTGGCAAGGTAGTCCCGGTAAGGGAAATACATCCTGATGAGGGAATCACAGGGGGCTTTAGATTAGCAACTGCACCCCTGCAGCAGTGTCTAGCAGATTTTCACCTGGAGGTTTTGCTTTCTCTCTCT